AATTAATTAAAAAATTCAGATTTTTTTTAAATTAGGAAAATTAATCATCCCCTAAAAATCCGAAAATTTCCTTTTATAAATGTAGTTAATTGTCTAAAATACCCTTTTGCTTAAAATTGTGTGATTATATGCTACATGTTACCCCAATGTAATATCATACACCCTCAAATCATGTTCATTGATTAATTTCATCCTTGGTCCAGATTTGTGCATTTTGTCACACAATACTCAGTAAAAACAAAACAACCTAAGCCTATATATATATATATATATATATATATAATAATATTATATATATATATATATATATATATATATATATATATATATATACACAATTAAAATACATATGACTTATGAACGGTAACATGTTTAGAGTTCTGTCTGATACTGCTTTTGTCTTTGGCTTTCACGATAACTTCCCGGTTTATCTTTATTTGGCCTATCAAATTTTAATATCTCATGATAGACCATTGTATTTTTAATTAACACTCATGAATTACATAACAAAATAGCATCCATTAATATATACAAAACAACTATTTTTAATTTATGAAGTTTCCAACGATGGAGTAATCTGTTTTATGGTCAAAAGCATTTGTTACAACGATAAACAAATAAAAGTTTAATGACATAAATTAAGTAGTAGCACAAAATATCATTTATACCTAAGGGGCTGTTTGTTAGAATCTGAATTATTATCTGAATTATTAAGATCTGAATTTTTAACATGCTGTTTGGTTGGAACTTCTTAATTTTTGTGCTAAACTATAAAATGACCATTTTACCCTTATGTATTAATTTTTGTTGAATTCAATGTTCTGTTTTATAAATAAATAGCCAAATCAACTTCTTAAATAATTATAAAAATAAATATAAACACCATATAAAATCCAAATTAAACATAAAATATAAACACCATATAAAAATAAATATAAACACCATAATTATAAAAATAAAAACATTTTATTTAGATTTCAGTTTATTAGTCCGCAGATGTTAAAAAACAAACGGTCTTCTTTTTCCAAACTGCAGACGTTTGGTCCACCTCTTCTATTGCAGAGATCTACTGATGTGGTCCACAGACTGCAGACATTTTGTCACAAAAAAAACAAACAACACCTAAGTCTACAACAAAAAACATTTTAAGGATCATATAAAATCTAAAAATTAATTATACTTATAAATATAAACTTATACTTAAAATTCACATCAAATACCATGTTGATAATACGATAACATGTGAATTCAGACTCCAACTTAAAAACCCACAAGTGAATTACACTACAACTTCAAAACATCGCAAAAAAAAAAAAAAAAAAAAAGGAATTCGACATTACCAGAACTTGAAACCTTAAAATTCATGAATCCGAGATACAAAAACAGAGTAAAAGATGAAGGCCTTCCATCAAAGTTAGATTAAGATCTAGAGTCCCTCAAAGTATCTCATATGATCTTCAAATGTCTCCCCATGCCTAATTTTCGCCACAGATCCATCTTCATCAACCTTCATTAACAACATTCACAAAAAATCAATTCATGTTGACTTTCAATAGTCAAATTGTGCATTGTTCAAATCCAAAATTCTCATCTTTATCCCTTCCTTCCATCAAACAAATAGATGCAAACTCTAGGTGAAAAATAAACAATTACAAATTAAAATATGGTGTTTGACTTGAAAAGTCAAAGATGAAAAAACATACCCAATACTCAGGTGGACGCATCTTGAGGTTGTAAGTTGATGCCATGCTCATGCAGTATGCACCTGCATCATGAACTACAAGCCCAGAACCCTGTAAACATCAAATTCTCATCATTAATCATTATTATACAGAAAATCAAAATGCTAAAAAAAAAATTATATTAATAAAGAACAACGGAGGTAGAATGTACACTGGCAGGAGAAGGAAGGTCCCTGTCCTTCCCCAAGAAATCAGCTGACTCGCAAACGGGGCCCACCACATCAAAGGTTGAAACCGCAGAATCAGGTGATGGAGGTGAAACCAATTCTATGTGCTACATTTATATTAAATTTAAAACTAAAATCAATATTCTAAAAAACGTTAAGCACTTAATATATATTTTTTTTTTTTAATGGAACTGGACAAGTTGATTTAATGGATTAAGCCAAAAAAAGAAATGGCTTAATGCATTAAGACACCAACCATTTACGAATATTTCCTTATTATACAAATGAGAAAATCTTACTTGATAAGCATCATATAGACTAGGGCGAATAAGTTCAGCCATGCTTCCATCAATCACAATAAAGTTCTTTGTGCCATTTGTTTTCACACCCGTGACACGATTCACAAGACAACAAGTATTTGCAATTAGCGACCTCCCAGGTTCAATTATCAGATTAAGATTTCGCGACAAAACCAACTCCCTAACCTTAACCAAATCAAACATAAAAACAATATAAACGATTTCATATCAATTATTTAAATTATATAAAATATATATATATATATGTATATGTAACGCTTACTGTGTCAATGAGATCCCTGGGTGTAGGAAGAACAGTACCAGTATGATAATAATCAATCCCAAGACCACCTCCGATATTTAAATAATTAATATCAAATCCTTGAGCTCGAATTTCGTCTATAAACTTCACCATAATTGATGCAGCATCTCTGAAAATGTCAACCTAAAAAAACGGTCAAAGTCAAACCATGGTCAGCACAAAAGGGTAGATGATAATATGATGTTTTACATTTACAATACCTTGGTGATGGTGGATCCAAGATGGCAATGAGCGCCAACTAGCGTAAGTTCATCGGGGTATGACTTCACAGCATCTAGAAACCATTGTAATTTCTCGTTTCTTATACCGAATTTGGAGTTTTTGTTTCCAGTTGCAACATAAGGATGGACCTATTTGAAATCGATTGTAGATATTGAGTTATTGGTGTTATAGAGATGAAAGATTTTTGAATTCGATGTGAGAAAGGGAATCACAAACCTGAGGGTCGACATCTGGATTGATTCTAAGCAATACATTAACCTTCTTCCCTGCGATTCTTGCAGCAGAAACAATGTTATCCAAATCGAATTCACTGTCAATGTTGACAAATACGCCTTCTTGAGCAGCAAGAACAAGATCATCCAAAAGCTTCCCGTTTCCATTAAAAATGCATCTATTATTCGCATCAAACCACACACAAATCGAATCAATTTTCGCCAAATAGTTATTACTAGTTCATGAAACTGAAAAATAAGTACCTGGTAGGATCAAAACCAGCACGAATGGCTAATCTGAGTTCATTTCCACTAACCAATACAGCCCCACAACCCAAATTCTTCAAATGTTGTAAAATCAAGAAGTTGTTATTGGCTTTAATTGCATATCCGATAATCGAATTCAGTCCCTCCAAAGCTTCCTTATAAGCCTCGACGTTTCTAGTTATCTGAGGTTTACTGTAGAGATAAAAGGGCCTTCTTTCAACGGCCTCCATGACTTCTTGAACTTTAAGACCCTCACAATACAAATAGCCATCGTCTTTCTTGGTGAAGCAATGTTGAAATTTCTGAGTTGCTGGAGGTTTTTGTGATATGACAGCTCGGATAGCGAGCGTTTTGGAACCGGGTTTATAAGAAATTAAGGTTTTGGGAGTGATCGGCTTTGAAGATTGATTTAGGGTTTTGGCGAAAGAGAGTGATTGAAATTGAAGGTGGGAAGAAGAGGCCGCCGCCGCCATTGGTGAGGGGAAAGTAGTGCAGTGTTTCCTCTCCAAATAGGAGCAAGGGTTTTTACGAGTTAGGTTGCTTTAAAACGTTTGTATCATTTAATAATAACACGTGTTGTTGGTAACCCTTTGATTGTTTTCTAGTATTATTTTTCTTATGTGATATAAATAGTAATAAATTTTTGAAAGCCGAGAATTTTTGGGTTGAACATCAAGAAAACACAGATTTTTTAGGACTCCTGTGATGGTAGGAAGTTTCGTGTCGATTTATTTCCAACGGATATAGGGAGACCTTTTTTAGGAGTGAAGCTCCTTGGAGGACTGTTAGCAGAGACGCAGCGTTTATTAGCGGGTTGGCCATGAAGAGAACGGACAATGATGTTGATTTGATGGGCCTTCTTCCACAACTATGTGACCCACAGAGTGAGCTCATTTTGCTTCGATCATATATGGGCATTGCAAAACTTTTCTTTGGTTT